CTTCTGAAGGATTTGAACACTAAGACTAAATATAGTTGGATTTCCAAGTGACTTGGATACATTAACATTGAAGAGAATGAGAGGATTTTAAAATTCATTAGTATCACTTTTTATAATTATGTATGACATTAAAAAGTGAATAGCTTCTTAACATCTACTTTGTAAGATACTTTATTATGGATTTGACAACTTTGATCCAGAACCATTCTAGGCCTCAAAACTGTTTGGAGTTTAAAAAAAAAAAAAAAACTATTGAATTTGATTAATTTCTGTGCCATAACTCTATAAAAATGCTGTAAATTAATTTAGAAGTTTAGGAGACTTAATTAGATATGTTTGTTAACAGATAGATCTCAGTGGCATCATAAGCCAAGCTGGAATTCAGTGGTTGAAACATAGGTATTGTAGTGTTTCCCAAAAATATGACAGTGTGTCATTTTAGAGTTTTTTCATGTGATCTCAATAAATAGAATGGAAGTGTATATTTTGACAAACAAAATTTCTGCTCTCTACAGGGAATACATTTTAAAATAATTGATGTAAATTATACATAATGGTAGATTTTTCATAATCTTGTATGTTTATTTGTATGTGTCATACTGGAAAGAAGTAAAAATTAGAAGATGACATTTTATTTTAGATAAAATGACATATCAGATCTCACACCCTAGCAAATAAGAACGTTTCATTTATTGGGACCTTAAAGTATATCTGTCCCCAAATATTTTAGGATAAAGGTTTAAACTGTTAAGCATCATTCTGTATAAATATAAACATACTTTAAATTTAAAAAATTCAAGGTTTTAGATTTAGAAAATTTTATTTTGCCATTGTTCTTGCTGTTTTTTCACTTGCTGATCTCACCGATCTTCACTTTTTTATTTGTATTAGACTCTAAATATGCTTGCATCTGCCGTTTTCCTGCTAGACACATTTAGATGGTAGAGATTGTTATTCATGTTGCAATATGCACACATTAAAGTATCCAAAATGGACAGCAGGAACCAAGGTGCTGCCTCTTCCTTTGTTTGTCATTTACTCTGGTAAGGGATGTGGTAACCTAGTACATGTTAAACGTATAATTGTTTCGAAGTATGTGGACTTTCCCCTTTGGTTGGATAAAGTAATTTGTAAGAAACATATTTTGAAATTCGTATGTGTATCAGGATCTAACCAGGAACACCAAAACCACTTCAAGTATTTACAACAGAGAAAATGTAATGCAGGGAATTGGTGATAACAGGCAGTAGTGTTGCTGGGAGCCAAGCAAGGCACAGAAAGGTGACCCAGAGATTAGCAATTAGGAGGAAGATACTGCTACCCTACGCTGAAGAGGAAAGGGGGTCCAGGGGTCAGGGCTACCCAGAACCCTGATAACTTCAAGAACAGCTAGAGCAGCTTCCAAAAAGCAGAGCCATGGAAGAGAGAGGAGAGGTTTGCGGGGGAAATGCCCTTGCTTCTCTCTCCGCCAGCTCCAGTCCCTTTTTACTGGCTGAACCCAGTTGGAGACCATCTGAGCCTGCAGGAGCCAGCCTCCTGCAATACAGAGCAGAACAGGTGGAAGGTGAGGAACGGAACTGAGGGCAAGCAGGCGCAGGATGAAACAGCGATATTGAAGAAGTTCCTTCTCGTGACAGATTATGTCCATCTTCATCCTGATCTCCTTTGAATATGTCCCTGGACAAATTGAAAACAGAAAGTGACAGGCCGGGTGCGGTGGCTCACGCCTGTAATCCCAGCACTTTGAGAGGCCGAGGTGGGCGGATCACAAGGTCAGGAGATAGAGACCATCCTGGCTAACACGGTGAAATCCCGTCTCTACTAAAAATACAAAAAATTAGCCAGGCGAGGCGGCAGGCACCTGTAGTCCCAGCTACTTGGGAGACTGAAGCAGAATGTCGTGAACCCAGGAGGCAGAGCTTGCAGTGAGTGGAGATAATGCCACTGCACTCCAGCCTGGGCAACAGAGTGAGACTCCATCTCAAAAAAAAAAAGAAATAGAAAATGACAGTGGCACTCAGTTCTGTGGATGTGAAGGTCCTCTGACTGGCAGCGTTGGTGTTCCTTTCTCCTCATCCCTCCATGCCATCCCAAGCTGGTTCTCAACCAAAGACTGTGGTCTTCTCTGCCAGTGTAGAACTTCTTTTTGGCTGACAGCACATAATTAGCTTGCATCTCCTGCTACAAACCTCTAAACAGGCATAGAATGTAGTCATTTGGGGGAATGCCCTAACTGACATTCTCTAAGATGATTGAGATCAGTTAAGCCTCTGAAATAAATTCATATAGTGGGAACACTCTCATTTAGATGTCGGAAGGAGTGTTATGCCTGTCACTTCTGAAATTGAGCTTGGATGATTTCTCCTGATTAATTAATTAATATCCCTTTAGAGAAAGCAGTGACTGTTGAGGAAGAATAAACTTTTTTTTTTTTTTTTGCTATGATTACAAAATAAGGGATGTAATCTAACTTAAGTATTTAGAGCACAGAGCCTGGTATGAAGTGGACATGCAGTAAAATGTTCAAATTTGTAGTGGATCTACTGTGAAAAGTTGATCATTGGCTTTGGGCTTTGAGAACTAGATATAGGAGTTTATCGCTGGAAGACTAAGAAATCTCCTAAAACAGTCTGGTTGATTTATAGAAAAGGAGGCTGGCATTTCTATTTTTATTTTCAGGAGATTCAAATTTACAAAACTAAAATGCTTAAATCAACCTTAGAAAACAACTATTTTTTAGATGACAAAAATCTTACAGAATATAAAAAAATGATGAGTGTGTGTGTGTGTCCCAGTGTGAAAGTCTATAATTAATTCTCCCAGAGATTGATGCGGCAAGTATTTGTGGTGCCTCTGCTGTGTGCTAGGTAGTGTTCTAGGCACTGGGGAAATATTAGCAGACGAAACCGTTGAAATATTTCTTCTTACAGCACTTTATTCCTAATGGAAAGGGAAATAGGCAGTAAATATACGTGTCAGGTGGCGGTAAGTGCTATGATGAAAGATAAAGGAGAACTAGAGTGGGTTTCCTATTTTGTGTGGGTCCAGGGAAGCCCTCTGACAGTGCTCCGGGGAGTACGAGGGTGAGCTGTTTGATGCTGTGGAGAAGCGGGTAATTCTGGGCAATGGGAAGGGTTAGCAATAAGTTCTATTAACAGGCTGACATATATGTCTCCAGATTTTTAGACATTGGACTTTTAAATAAAATAACTTGTTTATACTGTGCCTACTTTTCCCTTTCACTTAATAGTCTGTCTTCCTTTGTCTTTTTAATAGTTGTGTATAACGTTTCATTCTGTAGCTATACCTTAACTCTTTACCCAGTTCTCCATCAATGGCCATTCAGGCTGCTTAGTTTCTAATGTTAGAGAGGGTGTTGCCATAAACAGCCTCATACATGCATGGAAACGCTTGTGTGGCTGTTTCTCTAAGACAGTTGTTCTTAACCCACTTTAAAAGGCTTAAGAAAGTGCTGAAGCTCAGGTCCCATTCAGACTAGTTTTTATATTAGGGTCTCTGGGGAGGGGATCCAGGCTTTGGTATTTTTCAAAATCTCAGGTGGTTACAATATATAGTCAGGCTTGAGAACCACTGTTGTAGGATTGTTCTTAGAAATAGACTTACTGAGTCAGTGATATGAAACATTGTACATTTTAGTAGATACTGTAACATTATTCTCTATATTCTTTAGGATTAGGAGTGACTGCCAGTAATAGAAACCTAAGATAATGTTGGGTTGAACAAAATAGTTTATTTGTAATGTAAATATCTAGACATAGGCAACCCGGAGCTGGATGGCAGTTTTGTTCCATGAAGTCCTCAGTTGCCCAGCTGCCTTCTAGCTTTTGTCTTGGCTGAACTGAAAGTAAGCTCTTAGCCCGAAACTCCAAGGTGGAGGGTAGGGATCCTGCCATCACGTCCACATTCCAGGCAGCAGAACGAAGGAAAGGTTGAAAATCGGCAAAAGGTACATACAGGTCAGCGATCCTTTGGAAAAGATGAAACTTCCACTGAACACTTCCACTTGTATCCCATTGGCCAGAACTTGGTCATGAGCCCACACCCAGCCGCAGGAAGGCTGGGAAATAGGCTTTTGTCTGGGTAACCTGTGTGCCCTGAAGAAAACCGGGGCTGGTTTTATATGAAAGAAGAGAAGGACAGATAGTGGCAGCCACCAACAGTCTCTTCTGCGTCTTCCATGAAAGCTGTAAGAATCTGCCCTCCTACCTAAGACCGTAAGGGCACATTGTCCAGACCTGGTCAGTCACAACTGCAGAGTCAGCCGGAAGTTTCAGTGCAGAGATGAAAACTTCAGATAATATGTGGGTACAGGGAGAGGCGAAACAGACTTAAATCAGATGCAAGAATGATGCTGGAGAGTTGTAAACTTTATCATGTGCCAGAAAATAAAGGTGCAGGCGGCCAGTGTTTTAATTGGACACACTTCTTTGTCTCTGCTTGATGTTTCAGCTGCCATCCTGGAGGGTCTTTATCACCTTCAGCATGGCAATTGTTACTTAATTACTAACATACTCAAGTTTGTGTTAATATTAATGCTGCCCACCCTCACTTGAACATACTCGTCAAAGACATCTTAATACATAATTTTTATGTTTTAAATTAAAAATATTTTAATTAAGAAATGAAGGCTGGGTACAGTGGCTCAAGCCTGTAATCCCAGCAGTTTGGGAGGCCGAGGCGGGTGGATTACTTGAGGTCAGGAGTTCGAGACCAGCCTGGCCAACATGGTGAAACCCCATCTCTACAAAAAATACAAAAATTAGCCTGGTATGGTGGCACACACCTGTAATCCCAGCTACTTGGGAGGCTGAGGCAGGAGACTCGCTTGAACCTGACAGGCGGAGGTTGCAGTGAGGTGAGGTGGCGCCACTGCACTTCAGCCTGGGCGACAGAGCAAGACTCTGTCTCAAAAAAGAAAAAAAAGAAATGAAAAGTTTGATATGTGACATTTTACAAATCAGTATTTGTTGTCATTGCAGTGGATGAAGATCGCAGTACGGAACCTGACCGATTGCAGGTGTTTCACAAGAGAGCCATCATGCCTTACGGTGTTTATAAGAAACAGCAGAAGGACCCAAGTGAGGAGGCCACTGTTCTGCAGTATGCCAGCCTGGTGGGGCAGAAGTGCTCCGAGCGGATGCTGCTGTTCAGAAACTGACCTGCTCGCCTCTGCCGGGGGTTCCTGTGTTGTGCTGATGGTTTGTGTCAGGGTACTTACTCAGTACCTGTGGGGAAGTAACTGTCACCACCCACAAATTAAGACAGTTTTTATTTTGACTATCTATGGCTTTTAAAATATATTTTGTGGCAATGTATCTGTGAGAATCTCATGGTTAATATAAAGATTTTAAAACTGTGTTGTGACCTAACCCCCATAATTGGGGTTTATCATTTTGGAGGTTTCTTTCTAGAGCAAGATATGCTCAGATTCTCCTGTTTAAATTTTGTAAAATGAAGAAGTGAATCTAAGTAACTTAATCACAGTTGTGCATTTTTTTTTTTGGTTCTGTTAAAGAAATTAAAACAGACTGTTTCCTCAGGCCCATTTTAAACATGAACTTATGTTAGGAAACCTTAAGTATGGGGAAGGTAGAAAGTTTGTTTCATCACTTAGAAAATATGTCTTCTCAAGAACAAAACTGTGTGCTGTTACTCAGTGTTCAATATTAAATTGCTGCCAAATGTTACGTAGTTTAATAGAGAACTTGAAAAAATAAAACATTAAAAAGGATCTTGTGTTAGCATCAGGTATCCATTTGTTCAGGACAGTCCTGTTCATGTCTGTTGTCTTGGCATAGTTTTTTTCCCTAGAATATAGTACTCCCTTTTACTCTAAAAAATATCCCAGTTTGGACAATAAAATACATAATTACTCTAGTTATATTATTTGCTTTATTTCTAAAAATGTAAGAAACTAAATTTTTAAAAGAAAAACATTGGTTCCTGCCTTGATCTAAGCCTCATCCAAAGGAAATAGTCCCTAGTTTTTTACCTTACAACTCAGGACCTTTGTCTTTGGTTGTTAATGGAAATTAGTTAGTATGTGATCACTTTCATAGTTCTGCCCAAATCACACGTAAGAAGGAATCATTCTGACCTCTGTTCCAGGACAAGAGCTAGAACAATCCATTTCTTGCCCTTTGATGTGAGAGTCAGAGTCAGGGTGGCTTCTGCCTCCGTGAGTAACTCAGAGCAGAGGCCAGCCCCCTCCTTCCCGCTCACTCAGAGCGGAGGCCAGCCCCCTCCTCCCCTGTCACTCAGAGCGGAGGCCAGCCCCCTCCTTCCCGCTCACTCAGAGCGGAGGCCAGCCCTCTCCCCGCTCACTCAGAGCGGAGGCCAGCCCCCTCCTTCCCTCTCAGAGCAGAGGCCAGCCGCCTCCTTCCCTCTCAGAGGCCAGCCGCCTCCTTCCCTATCACTTTCTTTTGCTGAGTCCTTTGCCCACCTGTCAAGGTGGCAGGCACTGTGCTGGGTACAGGAGGAGGAGAGTCAGACATGTCCCTTAGCTATAGTCAAGCTGTCTGGGAAACAGGATGAAGAACAGAGGAGGGTTATTTTCTTGTTCCCTCTTTGTCAGCTGATCCCCTCTTCTGCTACCAGCTGTTTGGCCAGCAAGCCCTTTTCAGTCCCCTCTTTGCCCATTTTTCTGTTTTGGTTCATCCTTTTTTAAAAGCCATATTATAAAACATGGTAGTTTGAATCCTGTTGCTGATATTAAACTTTTCTCTAAAATGTACTGAATTTCGACAAAAATTTGAAAATATCCTTAGCTAACTAGAATAAAAAGGATCATAAAAGAATGATTTTAAAAATGAAATCTGTGGAAACTCAAAATCCAAGTCAGCCGTATTTCTTCATTCAGAGCGTGTGTGTTACTTGCCAGGCGCCGAGTGCTCTCCTAACCATGCTAGAGTAGTGAGCAAAGCCATTTTCTCTGATCACAAGATTTTATATTTTTCTGGGATTTTGACCTGCAAAATAGTCTCGTAAGAGCATTTGAGAAACTTATTTGGAACTGCCTTCAGAATCTATAGAGCTTTTCTTCTCTTTTTCCTCTAAGATGAAAAGAGCTTCATTTTATAACAAAAGTGATAGTGTAAGCAGAACAGTAAGAAGTTATAAAAGTAAAAATCATCTGAAACCCTACCATACTCAAGAACTGTCATGTATGTATACACACACCTGTGTAATTTTAATACAGTTAGAATTATGTTCTACATGCTGTTTCATTTCCTCAACAGTAAATTATGAACATGTCTGAAATTTGAAATAAATTTCAAAATAAAGCTTCAGAAAGTGTAGTAAGTAATCTCTGCACTATTAAAAATAAGCAGGGTAGGGCTGGTACGTGGCTCCCTTAGCGTTTGGATGTCCAACTTGATGTTATCACTGCATCTTTCCTCCTTTTATCTTTGTGATTAGCATGTAAAATGGTATTCATAAAGATCACAACCCTTGAATATCAAATGAAGAGAAAACGATTTCAGCGTCTTACCACAACTCTGGTTTCTTCCTGCAGAATTCATTTTCAGAGGAAAATGATGAATCATCCCTGTGTGTGAACCACTGTGCTATCCCTGAGGGTGGCATTGTAGGTTGACTCCAGCAAAGCCTCAGAGTGACTTGAGCATGGAGATCCTTCTGCTTGGCTGCTGTGTTCATGCATTATGTTTATTTGTTTGATACATTGATCCGAGTAGTCAAAGTGTCTTAAAAGGACACCTATGTGTCCTTTTGAGCCCCAGCTGAGTGAATATTGACAGTGAGCTAGAAAAGCATAGTCAAGGAAAGTGACCCAACCTTATTACTTGACCAGCAGTCTAGCTGAGAGATGTGATTTTGTGTTCGTGGCTTTCTATAAAGACACAAGGACTTTTCAAAGACGGTTTCTATCTTTCCAAGGCAGGAAACTTTGCATTTGCAATCTCAGTATTGTGTCCCCTTCTGATTTCAAATACATCACACCTGCCTTCCTGTTTTGGGAGCAAAGATGTAATTTTGATTCCCTGTGCTACCATCCTTATTTAAATTATTTCCATTCTAAGAGATTTTTGTTATTTTTTTAAATGTAATCTGAGCACTTTTTTTGTATTCGAAAAGATAGATGCTATCAGATAAATATATTGTTCATTTGATTAAAATTATTTAGATAAATATTACTATGTTGACTCTTAAATAGCTTTATCCTATTCATTCATTTTGCAAATATTTGTTGTGTGTAGTTTCTTAACATGTCCGAGTCTATTATGTAAAAGAACCTTTTCAGATTTCTGAACAGTATATGCTTTGATTTTATAGGCTTTATATTATTTCAGTATGAATAAAGATAAGGAATATGATGGACAGTTAACTAAAATGTATCTGTCGTTGCTAACTTGAAAGAAATGAAGTGGAAACAGTTGGAAAATGTTTGAATTAGAAATTATTCAAGTGCACATTCTTTTCTAAAAACCAATGACTGTAAGGCAAAACAAGTTTGATTGCATGTGGCATTTTTTGCTCTCGTATATGCTTTTTGAACAAGTTATTTGATAAAGCCTGAGTGGAACAAATAAAGCTGTTTCTGTCTGCGGTGGCTCTTGGTGGCCATTACTTAAAAGACATGTGTTTTCATCTGTTAAATTCCGGAACACATTTCACCTGCTGTGTGAATATGTCGAAAACAGAGGTAAGACACTGGCTATATGAATCATAAAATTTAATTTTCACTAAATGGAGTTCCAGACCGTGTGGTTATCTAAATCAAAATATGGTGGATTCCTTTCTCAGAAAGAGAGTAAAATCCCATTTTAAGCCAAAAGTCTGGATTTTCACTAGATAAATTAAGGAATAGACTTTTATAACCCAAAGGGATTCAAAATAGGACTTTAAATATCAATTCAAATATAATTTATCTTAGAAAGTTTGCAGAGAAAGTTTCAAAAATATAAAGTATGCTTTAATTGTTCATAATAGTCTGTGGTATATTTATGCAATACATTTACTAGTGTTTTATCTCTTTATAGCAAAGAGGGTCCTGGTAGGTTGGTGATAAAATTAATCCTATTTCCAAGTGATTTAAATATTAGTTACAATTCCCACTGACATTTTTTTCCTCCAGAATAGACTTAGCCTTTTCTTACTTGAAGTGGACAGTGTTCATCAGGAAACATTTAGACAATATGGAAAAGAATACTGAAGAAAAAGTAAAAACACTTTTAATCCCATCAGCAACAACCCCTGATTACCTTTCACATTTTGGTGTAGGGCCTTTGACACTTTTTCCTACCTTACATATATGTATATGTCTTGTTTTATTTTAAAAGAAATACGGAATCCTGTGTGTATTGTTTCATAACTTTTTCATCTAATATGTTGTGAACATCTTAATACATTTGAGCATAAATGAGGAAGAATATAATTTTTTTTTTTTTTTTTTTGAGACGGAGTCTCGCTGTGTCACCCAGGCTAGCGTGCGGTAGTGCGATCTCGGCTTACTGCAGGCTCTGCCTCCTAGGTTCAAGTGATTCTTGTGCCTCAGCCTCCCTAGTAGCTGGGATTACAGGCGCGCTCTACCAAGCCCAGCTAATGTTTGTATTTTTAGTAGAAACTGGGTTTTGCCATGTTGGCCAGGCTGGTCTCGAACTGATCTCAAGTGATCCACCCACCTCGGCCTCCCAAAGTGCTGGTATGACTAGCCACTGTGTCTGGGCAGAATATAATCTTTTTAATACCTGCATAATATTCCACTGTGTCTAGAATCTTTTGGGAATGAGGCCTTAAGACTTTGGCCCCTCCTTTTGGGTAGTGGGAGTTGTAATTGACCAGCACTAACATTTTCATAGGAGTTCTTTAAAACACTTGGTGCTATAGACACGGTTTGGTTCCTCCCGAAGTTTATATATTGAAATCTATATCCTCACTGTGATGGTGTTAGGAGGCAGGGTTTTGGGGAGGGCATTAGGTCTTGAGGGCAGAGCACTCATGAATGGCATTAGAGCGCTCCTAAAAGAGACCCTGGAGGGCTGTCTCACCCGTCCCAGCGTGTGAGGACGCAAGAGAAGGCACCGTCTGTGAACCAGAAAGCGGCACTCACCAGATAACAAATCTACCGGCACCTCAACTTGGAGTTCTCAGCTCCAGAATTGTAAGAAATCCATTTCTCTTGTTTCCGGGCTGCCCAGTTGATGGTGTTCTGTTAAGCAGCCGGAATGGACTAGAACGCTTATTGACATTATTCTTATTCCTGATTTCCCAGTTCCTTTTCCCTTTCACTGGACAGTAGGAATTTTTTCCTTACCTGCAGCTTCAGGAAATATGTAGCTTTGAAAACTTAGTGCCTTTTCTCTCCTTGTTCCTCCCACTAGATATTTTCCGGGAGATGCGGAGACTACTGTTTTCACAGGATGCACACCTCTAAAATTTCCAACTAGAATTGCCTTATTTGAAAGCTTAAAGGTATTTAAAACAAATTAAGGTTCTAATTTATTTGATTCTTTATAAAACAGAAGTCTTTAAAATGGGCTTGCTAGAAAAGATGGGTAACCATATTTCTATTATTAATCTTGCTAAGTTTTATATTGGCTGTTTATTTGGGGATTTTGGTAAAATTACGTTTTACTATTCAGGTGGTTGTCCCCATTGGGCTCTTGAGTCCTATCTAGAAAATATTGTCTCATTAACTTTTTGTTTTTGTTTTCATTTTGGTTTTTTTTTTTTTTTGAGGCGGAGTCTTGCTCTTTCGCCCAGGCTGGAGTGCAGTGACGCCATCTTGACTCACTGCAACCTCCACCTCCCAGGCTCAAGTGATTCTTCTGCCTCAGCCTCCTGAGTAGCTGAGACTACAGGCGTGTGCCACCATTCCTGGCTAATTTTTATATTTCTGTAGAGATGGTATTGCA